ACACTTTTTGGATAATAGGGATCTTTGACCCTTATAGAGATCAAGAAAAACCTGCCAAATAGGGATCTTTGACCCTTATAGATATCAAGAAAAACCTATCTTTTGGCAGGAATTACCATACCTATATTGCTTGTACGCAGAGAATTGGCTTTTTGTTGGTGATTTCAATATCTCTCGATGGGGACATGAAAAGTCCAATGGAAAAGTCACCAGAGACGAGACACTGAAACAACTTCATAAGAGAAGTTGAGTTCATTGACCTTCCCCTCGATAATGGTCTCTATACTTGGTCAAACAATAGATCTCCACCCACCTGACTCATCGACAGATTTCTAGCAACAGAAAGCCTACTTGGAAAACTTAGTAACATTGGTGTGCAAAGACGGAATAGATCTACATGATCATTATCCCATTCTACTTTCCATGGGTTGCTAATGGGGCCCCTTGCCTTTCCGCTTTGAGAATATGGCTGAACCATTCTGAATTTTTGACTATGGTGGAATATTGGTGGAAGAATATGCTCCTTCGTGGATGCACGGGGCACGGTTTCATCAACAAAATTTATAATACTAAAAGAAGTCTTAAAGAAATGGAACAAGGAGGAAACTGGCTCTATTACACCAGTTCAACACACACATACACACACAATAGCTCATGAAAGCTGAACTTAGTAAGAACAATCTTGGAGACAAACGTTAAAGGCGATGGCTAGAGGAAGGTGACATAAACTCCAAAATTTTCCATCATATCATGGCTATCATATCATGGCTACAAAGAGAGGAAAGAGTACCATTATAGAAATCTATCGACACAAGGCAGAAGTTTAGAAAACAAAGATGAAATTATCTCAAAAATTGTGTCTTTTTACATGTCCTTGTATACAAAAGGACAATGTCCTCTTTGAATTTCCTCGTGATCTTGACTGGAGTCCTATTGATCAACAACAAGCTGCCTCCGTCGAGGTTGCTTTCGCTGAAGAAGAGGCGGGAAGGGCGATACAACACCTGAGCTCCAACAAACTCCAAGATAGAATGGTTTTACCTCAAAATTTAAAAAAAAAATGTTGGAACTTTCTTAGAGCCATTATCATGAGAGTGCTCCAAGATTTAAAATTTTTTTTTTTTTTTTCCAGAACCTAAATGAAACATACTCTCCTCGACTTGGTATTTTGGGTATAATAGAATGGTTGGAACTTCAACACAAACTTCTTGGTGGGTGTTTTATTCTTTTTGCATTTACTTCAATCATATGCATGAAAGCCACTCACCATGGAGCTTTTCTTAATTCCCCGTCTTTTATATTGTAATTACACGTGAACTCACATGCAATGCAGGAAATTGCTGATTGCAGATGCCAAGCAAAAGTTTATTTCACGGATACCAGAAGCTCTAAAAGAGGACCTTATAAAAAAGCTTCAAGTATTTAGTCAAGAAAAGTAACCTAGAAGGGTCTCTTCTCTTTGAATGCGGTAGCTGTGCTGAGAAACAAACCTTATGCAGATTCTTGATGTAGATCCATATATACTAAGAGATGCCGTCACAATCTATATAACAAAATTCATTCTGTTGTAACTGGCCCCTTTGACGGGAATGGAATGTCCTGGTGGCGATATAAGAAGAATATGTCCAGTTCAAGCAAGCATTAGCATCGCTGGGAATTAGTCCTTTAATGCCCTCAATCCCCTGCCGCGGATTTACCATTAATCTTGTGAAGAACTGGGATCACCAATGCGCATGATTGAAATTTCTTTATACCGCGATGCTGCACAACTGGCAGCAGTCATGGCAGAGAAGAAAGTTCAGGAATTCTATTCGATTTTGTATAATATCCTTTTTGGTAGGAGTTTTGGTTTACAATCATAAATAAAAAAAAAAAAAAAAAAGAAGTATAGGCAGACTGCGGGAGAGATACATATCTATGGTTTCATTGAGTTGGCATTTATTTTACCATGTAAGTCTGTTTTTGAGCAATCTATTTCACCCCACATTTGATTCTTGTACCTGACTCAGCGCGATAAAATGACACCGTTTGCTCTTGCTGCTGCACCCCCTACAGTTGGAAATATTTCGAGCGGCACTGCTTAGAGAAAGGGTTTGATGGTATTTGTTAATTTTCAGTTTGACTGCCATGTATCTCTTTCGGTTTTTTTAATGCCTTCTCACTTTACTGTGAAGTTTTATACATCCATAGTGGAGCTTATGCAGAGTTCTGTGGCAAACTCAATATTTTGCAAGTCTGAATTTGACGTGCCTTGAAGATATTATTTGATACAACCAGGTTGATGCTTCTATTCTTTTCTCCAAATTACTCTATAACATGTTGTCTGAGTAGGTATGTATATGTATTTGTTCATTGTATTTATATATGTATGCGAACCGTTTATTTTTTAAAAAATCATCTGAGAGCTCGTGATAACCAAACGAATACAATATTGCTTATGGATAATTCCTATACTTTCGAAAGTTAGATTTTAGTTTTGGTGATTCGCTAAAGTTTCATAAATGGGTATGGTTTGATAATATTGTCACAAAATTATTTTGGTATCTCCAACATTTTTATGTAAATTTGTGAAAAAATATTTGTTTCACTCCTAGATTTTGTGGAATTTATTGCAAAAGTAGTCGCTCCAACGCCTCGAAGATTTTTCCTCCCTCGTTTAAGCGTTAAATTTATTACGGGTAAGCAGCCACGTTTGATTAGGACATGGATGGGAAGATTGGTTATAATATCTATCATAATAATTGATCGAACTTCAAAATATTTAACAATGGACAACTTTCCATTTTTATATATTTGAAAATTTTTAAAATTAGTTAACTAATATATTAGTATAAAATGTTTTTTTTTTGTTGGTTTATGTGAGATACCGCGTTAGTTGGAGAGATATCGAAACATTTCTTATAAAGTGTGAAAATCTTTCAATAGCAGACAATGATGCTACATAACACGCTAGAGTAAATAATAACTGCTAGCAGTAGGTTTGGATTGTGGAATGAAGCATTCTTGATAAATTGACTCTTAAAAATCGTATGTATTAGACATCGGGCGGTGTGCTAGCAAGGACGTTGGACTATCAAGGAGAATTAATGCAAGTTTAAGTTCCAAAATAAATTTGTTTTTTTTTTTAAAGTAAAAGTTATCATGATATGATTCGAAAGTACAATTTATAGAGTGATTCTTAAATTCATTTGAAATTAGAAAAAAAAGTCATAAATTGATATTGATCAATTGAAAATAGATCTTTCGAGTAAAATAATGGATGGATTGACTATGACCAATCAAAGATGATAAGATACTTGAGGTTAGTAAGAGTTTTATCATATAAGGGCCCATGGAGGACCATACGAATGGACGCTATACACTGACATATTTTAGTTCTTTACGTACGCTTGAATACGTCAAGTTAATATTGAATAGGACTTGTTTCAAACCATACTCATAACTAATAAATCTTAAATTTACTATACCACTAGAGACGAATTATTTTGACTCTCGATAATAGACAAATTAACTAGGACTTTGGTTGAACCACAAATCGAACACAAGTAAGTTGATCACTATTAGATAGCCAAACGGAGTAATAGATTGGCTATACTATCTCGAACTAGGTCATAATTGGTCGGTCTTTTTCTGAATGATTTAAATTTCTCGATTTTCCTTATACTTTTGTATGTGTATGCACGTCTAACTCGAATAAAGATTATAATCAATTTTGTCAGAGTAAGAAGAAAGATAGGATTCTAATCTGATCAGCTTCTTTTTCTAAATTTAGTATAATTAAACCATTTGTGCATTTTTAAAGGGTGCCCACACAAAATTTATAGTAAGACCCCATACTCGAAATGATTTTTTTCACTCCAAAGAACTCATTTTCTTCTCCTTTCATTTTCCCTTCAGTAATTTAACCTCTCAGTCCCAAAATTGCTATAAAATGGGTCCACTCTCAACCTCAAATTCAATCTCTTCTCCATTTCCATTTTGGTGTTTGTTCCCAATTTGACAAAAATGGCGAATGAAGTGAAGCTGTTGGATTTCTGGCCCAGCATGTTTGGGATGCGAGTTAGAATAGCTCTGGCCGAGAAGGGCGTGGCGTACGAATACGTGGAAGAAGATCTGAGAAACAAGAGCCCTTTGCTTCTGCAGATGAACCCAATTCACAAGAAAATCCCTGTTCTTGTTCATAATGGAAAACCCATCTCCGAATCTTCCATTATCGTTCAGTACATCGATGAAACGTGGAAGGACAGAGCTCCTCTGTTGCCGTCTGATCCATACGAGAGGGCTCAAGCCAGGTTTTGGGTGGATTTCATCGACAAGAAGGTGACATTCTAAAAACCCTTTACCTGATAGGCCTTAATGACATTCCTAAGCAATGAAAGGGGTATGAAAATGTGTAGCTTTATGATGAAACGAGGAAGACATGGGGGAGCAAGGGAGAGGAGCAGGAGGCAGGGAAGAGGGGGATGATTGCAATTTTGAAGCAACTGGAGGAAGTTCTTGGGGAGAAGGCTTTCTTTGGAGGAGAGTGTTTGGGGTTCCTAGACATTGGTTTGATTGGATTCTCATCTTGGTTTTATAGCTATGAGACCATTGGGAAGTTCAGCATCGAGGCAGAGTGTCCCAAGATCATGGCTTGGGTGAAGAGATGCTTGCAGAAGGAGAGTGTTTCAAAGTCCCTGCCTGACCCCATGAAAGTGTATCCCTTTGTGCTTGAAATTATGAAAGCGCTTGGCCTTGACTAACCAAAAATCTGCACCCTTTTTCATCTGTTCCTTGTTGTTCTAGTCTCGGTCTTGAATAAGTTGTGAAGGATTTGTGTGGGTAATCGATCTATTTTCTAGTGTTTAAGTTTCGGGTGGGTTTTCTTGTTTTCTATCTTGATATAACTAAATCGAAGTTTGTTGACTCAAGCTACGGACTGTAAAATTAAACGTTCAAGAATTTGTTAGACACTCTCCAAAGTTCACGGATCAAATGACGTAACTTGAGGTTGGTAAAAGAGAATATATGGTACAAATATGCATACGGGACCATATTACTAAATGCTAGTCGTACTAAGTTGTCCATATACACTTGAACACTTGTGACTTCCTATCTAACATCATGTTTCATGCCAACATACTCATAATCTATGAGCCTTTAATTTTAAAATGTCTTGTTGTTTAAAAATGTATGAACCCACATGGATTGGAGAAAGAAAGGACGAAATTATCTATATAAATACTTGGGCTCAAGCTCAATCTCTTCTCCATTTCGATTTGTGAGTTTGTTCCCAATTGGCAACAATGGCGGAGGAGGTGAAACTGTTGGATTTTTGGCCCAGCATGTTCGGGATGCGTGTTAGAATAGCTCTGGCTGAGAAGGGCGTGGCCTACGAATATGTGGAACAAGATCTGAAAAACAAGACCCCTTTGCTTCTGGAGATGAATCCAATTCACAAAAAGGTACCTGTTTTTGTTCATAATGGAAAACCCATCAGTGAATCTTCCATTATCATTCAGTACATTGATGAAGTATGGAAAGACAGAGCTCCTCTGTTGCCGTCTGATCCTTACGAGAGGGCTCAAGCCAGGTTCTGGGTGGATTTCATCGACAAGAAGGTGGCATGCTCAAAACCCTTTACCTGATAGGCCTTAATGTTTTCATTGATATTCCCAAGCAATGAATGTATTATCAAACTGTGCAGCTTTACATTGAAACAAGGAAGATATACATGAGCAAGGGAGAAGAGCAGGAGACAGGCAAGAAGGAGGTGATAGCAATTTTGAAGCAAGTGGAAGCAGTTCTTGGGGAGAAGGCCTACTTTGGAGGAGAGTGTTTGGGGTTCATAGACATTGCCTTGATTGGATTCACATCTTGGTTTTATAGCTACGAAACCATTGGGAATTTCAGCATTGAAGCTGAGTGTCCCAAGATCATGGCTTGGGTGAAGAGATGCCTGCAAAAGGAGAGCGTTTCAAGCTCCCTGCCTGACCCCATCAAAGTCATCACTTCTTGCTTCAAGTCAGGAAAGCACTTGGCCTTGACTAACCAAATTGCTTCAGTCAGGAAGGACTTGGTGTGGATCAAAATGGATGAAATTTTTAGTGTTTGTGGTTGGGGTTTTGATATCTTCTCCCACTTTGATGCAGCGTAGTAAGTCATTGAATAAATGACATAGCCAGCCTTATGGTTAGCATTAAAAAGTTTAATTAATCTATAAGTTCTGTTTTTAATAGATTCTTGAGTGCGTTTCCGGTATCAAGAACACGATGAACTGACCCTTGATAGAAATCACTAATCTCCACAATAATTTGATATTGTCCTTAAAATCTTAAACCCGGACTCCCACGTGATCCTTCCTCAAAACAATGAGTCCACACCATGTTGAATGGTCCATAGCATTGGAAGTTGCAGAAAATGGACTCTGTTTTCACCGCATCCTTTCCCCTTTTGTCCTTTCTCTTCTCTCTCCACTATTCCATTTTGTCCCACTTTCTACAAATGGGTCCACTCTCAAACTCACTCTCAATCCCTCAAAACTCATAGCCCTAAAGCGGCGCTCTCCCTTTGAGTTTCATCTTCCCCATTTGGCAACAATGGCAGAGGAAGTGAAGCTCTTGGATTTCTGGCCCAGCATGTTCGGGATGCGAGTCAAAGTAGCCCTGGCCATGAAGGGCGTGGCCTACGAATACGTAGAACAAGATCTAAGAAACAAGAGCCCTCTGCTTCTGGAAATGAACCCAATCCACAAGAAAATCCCTGTTCTTGTTCATAACGGAAAACCCATCTGTGAATCATCCATTATCGTTCAGTACATCGATGAAACGTGGAAGAACAGAGCTCCTCTGTTACCATCTGATCCATACGAGAGGGCTCAGGCCAGGTTTTGGGTGGATTTCATCGACAAGAAGGTTCGGGTGAATTAATGAAAGTTTAGTTCGTTTTGTTCATGGTGTTTGACATTGATAAACAAAAATGCAGGTGTTTGAGAGTGGGAGGAAGATCTGGGCTAGCAAGGGAGAGGAGCGTGAAGAAGGGAAGAAGGAGTTCATGGGAAGCTTGAAGAAGCTGGAGGAAGTTCTTGGGGAGAAGGCTTACTTTGGAGGCGAGAATGTGGGGTTTGTGGACATTGTTTTGATTGGATACTACACCTGGTTTTACAGCTACGAGAGCATTGGGAACTTGAGCGTTGAGGCAGAGTGCTCCAAGATACTGGGATGGGCTAAGAGATGCTTGCAAAATGAGAGCGTTTCTAACTCCCTGCCTGACCCCTTCAAGATCTGTGACTTTGTGCTTCTAATGAAGAAGAAGTATGGCCCTGAATGAATGAATGAACAAACAAACCATGTGTGGACTATCTCTAATGTATTTTGTATGCTGAAATAAATTTGGGGTATTTTGATCTGTTAAATTATGTTCATGTTCATGTTCATATCTTTACTTCAATAAAAAAAAGTTTCGAAATTTTTTACCGTCTTGTTCTCAATTGGCGTATGTCGTGGCCGCCGCCTTGGTTTCCCTTTCCTCCGCCCGATTGGCGTGGTTACACGCCTCTACAGAGCTCGTCTCCTTGACGGATCCGGTAGATCCCTTCAAGCCCATCCTGTGGACACCAAAATTGCAGTGTTTCGTTAAGGTTTGGGGAAGTTATGGAAGGCCAAAGTTCTGAGAAACCCACGACTCTCACCTCCAATGTCAACGGAAAACTCCCTCGAACACGTTAGGAGGCGAGCCCGAATGGTGAGCGGACCGCCGCAGAGTCTGTGTCGAACACGTCGCGGGCCAAATGGGTAACTTAAAACGACCACCGCCCCCTTCCATCTTTTGCCGCTAGCCCTTGTGTTTGCCGCCTAGCCCCTTGTTGAGAGAATGGTTGGGAGAGATTATTAGCCCGTTGTGGGGGGAGAGAGTCTCGTAGACTAAAAGGCAAACCATAGTACCATCCTCTAATTTAGTCATCTCAATACAATTTTTAAATATGGAATAAAAAAATTTGTGACTTACTTAAGTATCGAACAAATCGTGTATTTTGTTCGAGAGTTCCATTTAAAGTAATTGAGCATCAATTAAAGAAGACTAGCTCTATGATTCAGGTGCTTTCTACACCTGATTAAAATTGTTGACAGCTGGATACTATGTGGTTGGAAAACAAGAAAACAAGAAGGATAAAAGGTCACAAAGGATGTCACCTAATCTCTTCCACGTATGCAATGACGACAGTGGAGGCGAAAAATGGTACTCATAATCCATCCAACCAACCAATATCAAAAGGTGTCACATTCAACAAAGTTCTCCATCGATATTTCTTCTATAAAGCCCTCATCCCTCCCAAAACAGCTTCAACACCCTCCATTGTTGCACGATGAGTTCATCACAAGAGCTGGTTTTGTTGGACTTACGGGCTAGCCCTTTTGCCACGAGGGTGAGGGTGGCTTTGGCAGAGAAGGGGCTAAACTGCGAGATAAAACAGGAAGATTTGAGTAACAAATCTCCTCTGCTTCTGGAGATGAACCCTGTACAAAAGCAAATCCCTGTTTTGATTCACAAAGGCAAGCCCATTCTCGAGTCTATCATAATCGTTGAATACATCGACGAGACATGGAGCAGTGAGGCAGGCTATGCTAATTTGCTTCCTTCCCATCCTTACGAGAGATCCCACGCTAGATTTTGGGCTGACTATGTGGACAAGAAGGTATCATCACCAAGCTCTCCTCTTTATCTTTGATTTTGGTGTTATGGGTTCTTATGAAAAGCTGTTGCAAAAACTAGATCTACCCAAATGGAGGGAAGCTGTGGAACAAAAAGGATCTGACAGAGGAGGAGAAGGAAGCAGCAATGAAGGAGCTGATGGGGAGCTTCAAGCAGCTGGAGGAAGAGCTTGGAGACAAGCCCTATTTTGGAGGCCAATCATTTGGGTTTATAGATCTGTCGCTCATTCCATTTTACAGCATGTTTCTTGCCTTCAAATTGCTTGGAAATTTGGACTTGGAAGCTGAGTGTCCTAAGATCTTGGAATGGGCTAAGAGGTGCTGCCTCAGAGACACTGTCGCCAAAAGTATGCCCACTCAACAAGAGGTTTACGACGTCGTTTTGGATATTATAAAACGCCATTAGTTGCATTGTTGTAATTTTAATTATTCGCTCTAAATAAAATATGTACCCATATGGTCATTTTATCTTTAAGTTATTTGAATTCTGTACGGAAAATGTTTTTTTTTTTTGGGTATAAATATACAAAAATAAAACAAAAGTATTGAATTTTTTCCCATTTTTAAGCCATTTTATTTTTGGCGTTAAATCTGTAATGATTGGTATTGGTATGAGATTTACTGGAATTTCCGTTTTTAATTAAATAGTTACAGAGCTTTCTCCAGTTCCACCAGCTCCGACGCCGCATGCGGTGGTTGACGTCACGCACGTGGCTCACGTGTGATCTGGCTTTTCTCATCAATCCGTACACCTCCGGCGGTCGGTACATCCGGATTAACGCCCATTTTATGCCGTTGAAGAATGGATGCCGTTTGATCTCCGTCGCCCCTTTCCCGGATCCCAACCGTCTCGCCGGATCTTTCACCAGTAGTCTCTCTATCAGATCCCTCGCCTCTGCTATACCTTCCTCTTCCTCCATGGCCGCCCTGAACTTCACCCCTTCTGTAGACGCTATGTTTCTAAGCGTACCCTCCTTGTTCACTCCCCTAAACGGCGTCGTTCCGTGTAGCAGCTCGTAAATGAACACCCCAAACGCCCACCAGTCGACGGCGTTTCCGTGACCACCGCCGGTTACCAACTCAGGCGCCAAATACTCATGAGTTCCTACACATGACTTGGAAAAGGCCGTCGTCGGCTCCGCCACGAACTCCCCGACAATCTCCTCTGCCGCGGTCCTCATCCCAAAGCAGCAGGGAGTACCCTGTGGTCCCCGCTGTGTCGACGTGTGAAAAGTGGGGACAACGTCAGACTTAAAGCACAAATCGAAATCAGTGAGCATGACGTGGCCATCCTCACGCAAAAGAACGTTCTCAGGTTTGAGATCCCGGTACACAATCCCAAGCGCGTGAAGATACTCAAGCGCCACCAGAACCTCAGCGACGAAGAATCTCGCCGCCGAAACGGAGAGGCGGTTTCCAGGCTGTTTGCGGAGGAGAGAGTGGAGGTCACCGGCTGGGCAGTAGTCAATAAGGAGGCACGTGTAGTGAGAGACGTCGAGACGCGCGTAGAGAGTAGGGAGAAAAGGGTTGTCGAGCAAAGCGAGAATCTCGGATTCCGTTTGAACCTGCAAAAGCTTCTTGTTACTTAAAGCGTCTCTGTCAACGACCTTAAGGGCGAAATTGGCGTGATCGTTGTCTCTCAAATGGCAGAGGAAAACCCGGCCGAGGTTGCCAGTGCCGAGGTGTTTGATGAGTTTCAGGTGGCGGAGGTGGAGGTGGCCATCGGAGGAAAGAGTAGTGGCAGCTTTGATGGCGGACCAGTGTGGGTCGGAGTGGCGGTGGGGACGGAGGTTAAGGGCGGAGAAGCCGCGGGATTCGTTAAAGCTGAGAGTTAAGCTGCTCCGAGCGAGGCTGCTGCGGGCGGTGGAGGTGGAGATGGTGCTGGTGAAGCTGAAGTCGAGATCTGAATCGTCCTCCATTGGTGATGGGTTTAGATTCTGTAATGGGTTAGTGGAGAAGGGGCTGTTTCAGTTTTATACATCGCTGAGAGAGGGGACACAGGAAGACGAGTGGAAGGCGTGGGGTCTCTGACGCCATTAAACAACCTCTTTGGTTGACCCAATTGGAAACGGAGAGAGAAAGATCACCTGTCTTTATTGATTATAAACCCATAAACTATTTTCTTAGGGGACGTGAGACTTTCATCGTCCAACATCGCATTATATATTCTAATGTTGACTAACTATTACTTCTAATGTTGACTAACAATTTCATGTCTCGCATAAATGAAAAATCAACGTCTCCATCTTTAATCTCAATTGATTTATTCATTCGAATATGATATGACTTTTCAATTGGATTGACGCGTTCTTTGAAAAAAAAAAAAGGTCTGGTTGAGAGTGAGAACAAAATTTTATGCTGATTTAGATTTAAAGTAATTCAGTGAGAACAATTATCTATTTGGTTTGAGGTGGTTGCAGTCGAACTGAAAACGATATCCAAACATACTAAACAATTAAATTAAAAAATATTTATATCCTTAAAATAAAATAAAATAAACAAAGGATCGGGATTGGGAGAGTGGAAGGAAGGTGAGAGTGGCTTTTAATGACAATAACCTCTGTATTGGGGGTTGTGACAATAAATTCAAATAATTATTTTAATATTTTTTCTTAATTTATTATTATTTTCTTCAAGATAAGATTAGGCGTTTTTCAAACAATAACACGCTCCCATTTAATTCGCAAGCCTGTTTATTTATTTTTATTATTCATATAAGTTAATATTTTCAATATAAAAACCATTAAATTAAATGAATTTGAATTATTTGTGAGTAATAATAAAAAGAAAAATCTAGTGTTTGTATCTTAGTTGGAAATTAAAATAAAGTTTCAAATATATAAATAATAAATAAAATTGGATGAAAATAGAAAGCAAGTAATGGGTCCATGTGATGGGCCAACACAACTACTTGATAGGGCCCACGTGGAAATGAGCAGGATGCTGTCTGCCACGTGGTCAACACCGGCCCTACATTGTCGCCTTTACCTTCACTTCTATAATTCAATTATTAATTTTAATTAGTTATAACCTTCCACAATTTTTTTTATTTTATTTTGTTTTTCAAAGTTCCTTGTGTTATTGTATTTTTCTAATTTTAAATAATTCTGTAACCATAGTATTTAGTAAATTAATATTAAATTATATTTTTTAAAAATAAATGTATGATAAAATCTTACAAAGGCATGTGTTCACGACAAATCATACTTCTCCTCATACTAGATGGTCGTTAAAAGACATCAAAGATTTGAGCACGTTAGGTATACTTTGACTATATCTTTAAGACACATTTGAAAACACTCGGGACCAAACATGTTGTGAAAGAAAACATCTTGTATGCATCTCGACCGAGTCATATATTTTAAATATTAAAAACAAAAAACAAGAAATATTTGTCCATAAACGCTTACGAACCAAAATAAAGCGTTTTGAAAATACACATTAAAACTTTAAAATAAAAAGAAATTATAGCAGGGAGTCACATGGCAAAGTCACGTGCCATGGGAGCTTGACATGTGTGTGGTTCATGGTCCTGACTCCCACCAAATTAGCAACTTCATCTAATAAGTCAAGTTAATATTATACAAAATAATAATAATAATAAAATCAATTATGTATAATATGAATATAATTTCTTATATTTATTTGTACCATATGTTATTTTATAATATATATTTATTTATTCATTTTATATAGTTATGAAAACATTATTATATATTTAAAATAATAATAATTAGGTGCATGCATGTAATGAAACATGAATGAATGTTAAAAGCGTAAGGAAAGGGTATAGCTGACATTTCTGGCCTGAATATTTATTGATTTCTCATCCATCATCAACTCTTATTGTTATAAATTATTAATAATTGGATCATAACTTGATAATACATTTAAATCAAACTATATTGTATATTTAAATCAAACCACATTTAATATTCTCTAACAAAATTATATCATACTACATTTAGTATATGGATGGGTATACAGGTGGAGAGAGACTTTGATATTAATTATTTTAATGAATATGTTATATCAACGTGATTTTTCTGGTTGACCCGTTATTATGTTATTGGTTGTGTTTATAGATTAATTTCAACGTTTGTAACGTGGATTGTCCATACTAAAATTTAATGTTTGGGTTTTGATCCGTTCTCGATGGTTTCGACATTTTCTTGCATTGTTTATGATATGACCATGTTATCTATTTGTCTTGAGTGAAGACTATCTCCATAAACCAACTCGGGTCATCTTAAAATATTTTGATCTCATTCCTATACTTTCTACGAAAATTTCAACGAGGTAGCCCAACGTAGAACTATTTTAAATCCAATACATATAACTATACGAGGTTTCTATGATTGAGTCACTGGAAAATGAAGGTGCATCATATTCGTATAAATAGTAACTATCAATTATTTTAAACGGAACTTTATTCTCGAATGAGAATAAATATTAGATTGAAAACTCGTCGGTAAACAAGTCGATACTCTCTTTTTTGCATAACGTCCAACAATTGCTTAATGAATGCATCTATGGCGAAAGGCCGATCCAATAATATCGCGTGAATGTAGTTCCTTTAGTTTGCTAAAGCTCTTCCTCCTTTCAAAAGTTGATGTATCATCTAATCAATCTTGTAGTTCTTCCTAAATCAACGCTTCCCAGCAAGTGAATTACATGTTCTGTACGCACCACCAGACACATTCATATACTAATAATAAACAACAGATAAGAATTCCTTCCTTTTTTCTGATGAAATACATGAGAAAATCAAAGGGAACGATGAATCATATGCACACACACATACAGAGGGTGGTATAGTATATGAGAAGAACTCAATGATCTCTACAACTCTAAAATGCAAAACAAACAACGAAAACCCATTGTTTTTCCTCATTAAATAACAGTTCTCCCTACTGCTGTTCCAATATTCCAACCCCTCTCCTTTTCCTTCTTACTTTGAGTTTCTTTTGCAACTCCTCTTCTACCATTGCCTCCTCCTCCTCCTAACAACAACACCCTGTGCGCCGCCGCCATCCGTCCACGACTTCCGATTGACACCCTGACTTTCTCCAACCCCAGATTGATACCACCACCTCTTCTCACCTGTTGTTGCACTGGAGACTTCATTTGTTGTACCTTCTTCTTTTGAAGGCTTCGTCTCAACATGTTGCTCAACTTCTTACCTCCATACTTTCTCTCTTTAGGACTCTCGCATTGTGCCGCCTGTTCAGCCAAGTTACTGTCCTCTGATCCATCGCCTTTCTCTATCTTCTCAACTTGATATGATGGTGGCAATGGCAGCATTGGTGATGGGAGATGAGTTGAGCTCGGTATGCTTGGTTGAGGAGTTAGGGAGATTCTCCTAGGAGCAAGGGCCATCGGTACACGTCGAGCTGCCATTGGGCAAATAGAGGCTCTTCCGGTCCTCCTTGTTGGCACAAGAGATTGCTCAGCCATCTCTGGGTTGTTTTCCTTCTCTGTGGAATCAGGGTACTTGATGGCACCATCCACTGAAGGAAAGGGAAATGACGGTTTGGAGCCGTTGTTCTCAGTTAGTGGGCGAGTGAGATTTATTTGCTTCTTTCCTAGTATGCTGTTATATGATGATCCATGGAGAATTTTTTGACTACCTAATGGTCGACTCGCAGCAAGTTGTGGCCTCGCCGGTGCAGACTTGTGGTCTTCTGATTCAGTTTTCATATGCTGCTGCTGCTGCTGTATCTGCTCTGTTACTATGGCATCAACATGTTGACGTGCTAGCTTTCTTTCAACAAGAAGTTGAGCTTCAAGTTCTTTGACCTGTGATACCCACACAAAAATCAGCACAAACAATGTGGGTTCTTAATGGTTTTTGTAATACAAAATTCATTTACCTTATCCTGTAGACTTTTGTTTTTCTGATCTTTTTCCTTCATCTTCAAGTCTAATCCATGCATTGTTTCTTCCATCTTTCTGATCTGCAGATCTTTACTCTTCATATCCAGCTTTGTTTTCTCAGCCTAACACAAGCAATGAGTGAAGAACAAGATTGAGATTATCATAGAAAAACACAGAAGATTGCATCTGTTAAAGGGAAGCACTTGTTACCATCTGTTTGCATTTGTGGAATTCAGACATATCAAGTTGTCTCTTAGCAGGACCCAACTCAATTCCTCTTACTCTGCTCGCAAAGTTTAATGAGCAAAGAGTCTCATTCAAGTCATTTTCATTGGGACTGATCTGTACAAACATGAGTGTCTTTGAATCTCCCCCTAAAAATACAAGTTCCATTTATCAGTAAAGCAACATAAACACGTAAGCAATGTGTACATGTAACAGCTCAATCCCAAGCCCAAGCCCACCGCTAGCAGATATTGTCCTTTTTGGGCTTACCCTTCCGGACTTTCCTTCGAAGTTTTAAAACGCATCTGTTAGAGAGAGGTTTTCACACCCCGTATAAGGAATGCTTTGTTCCCCTCTCCAACCAATGTGGGATCTTACAGTAAATTACATAATCTAGAGGAGAAAGTACAATACCTAGTGAATCTTGAAGCAAATGAGTGAGCTTGGAGTTTCTGACAAAGGAAGACGGTGTGTAGTGGTTATTTGCAGCGTCATGGGATAATATTATAACAGCAAAAGTAGCTCAAATCTTACTTACCTAAAAGGAACATGAGGGCTTTTTGTGGCGAGAGCGGATATTACATCACCAAGAGCAGAAAGAGATCTATTAATATTTTGTGTTTCCTTGAGTCGTTCTCCCTGTACTTCTACTTTAGCAATCCGTTCGCTACCTGCCAAGTCCACCAACCAGAGTTTGCTACTTGTGCATTCCCCATTTAGCAAATTCTCCCCCTTCACCATCACACAGTGTATGCTGTTTGATATGCAATAACCAAAATCACCCATTAATATACAGCAAGATCACGTCCTTTTCATCAGTAAACTGAATGTAAAATAGAGAGACAGACCAGTGCGATCGGCTGCTGTGCTCATTACAATTGGTTGAACCAACAGCTCTTGCATTGCTG